CATTCCTTAATTTTTATCATTTCAAATAAACATATTAATATACATCCCTTGGCAAACAATACATCTAGATTTTAATTTAAGCTATATGGATTGATGGATGGATCGATGGATAGAGGCATGGCTGGAGGCACAGAAATTCACCATGACCTTCTCCCCTGGTGAAACCAAATGCCACATGTTCAACATTTCCTCCCAACACTTTCTTTGCTTCTCTGTCATGTGCTCTCTCAGGAGGGATGCATTTTGGGTTGTTTATTTGTTTGGTACCCAGAAGCCTTTTATACTCCTGGGAAATAATGTTCCCCAGTAAGATCCAGGATGGGAAAAGGTCTTTTTCAAGTGGGAGAAGGGAAAGAAGAGTTGGAAAGCTATGCTCTGAACAGTTTTTTCCACACTTTCTAAAATCATACACAGGAGAAAGTGCTATTTTAAAGATGTTGGGTCATTTTATTTTTTCATGCTATTAGCCCAATCTATGATCCTTAGTTCCACCTTTATGTCAGAGGTAAAAGACCCAGGGGAACCTAGAAACTAGACAAAGGATAGGTTTTCCCATCTCTCAAGACAATGGACTGTAAGAGATTTCCTGACAGAATATTTGCTTCCCTAGTATTTGGAAATCTTAAATTCTCCCTCTAAGTTACTCTATTTTGCACGTTTTTATTGTGTTCAGGTGTTTTCTAGATTTAGGGGAATCAGCACTGTCATGAGTTCTTAATTATCTAACAATATTTATTCTGTTCATTACCTGAGGTCAATTTTTAATTTGGGTTGACTTTTTCTTAAAATTTAGCACAACAAGCATCTTGGCTCATTTGTCCCCCAGAGCTCATCTGGTTTGAGCTCATGGACTGCAAACTAATTTTAAAATAAGCAGGGGACTCCAAAGGCAAGATTCTGCTGCCAAAAAAAAGAATAATAATAATAAAGCATTAAGAGCTAACTGATATTACTCTGACATCTGGCACCCTCTATTCTCCATAACAGCTGCAAACCTGAAAATTTCCCCAAAGGCCTCTGGGAGCGAGCACTCTGGGAAGGTTACAGAAGGCACAAGGTAACCATTTCTTCCCCAGATAACAGTGCCCACCCAGGAGAGCAGGACCTCTGAAGCTTATAAAAGCCAGCCATGCAGAATGTCAAAACCCCAAAGCCCAGGACAATTAAGTGGGAGAAAAAACAGAAGAAGCGGAAAAAAATGATGAAAAATGAAAAGCAAGTGGCAAAAAAGAGAAACCAGAGCAAAGGCTAGAAATAGGCTCCCCACAAGAGTGATGAGAAGGGACTGAGGGAAACCCAGAAGACAGCCAAGGAAAAGTAGCAGCAGCACAAAGAGCAGAGCAGACTTGGCGCCCCTGCCCTGACACCCCAGACCTCCAAGGGCTGAAACCCAGTATTCAGTAAGGGTCTATTCTCTTTAAGGAGCAGGGATCCACTCGTGACCCCAGAGAAAAAGGAAGTTACTGAAAGAATCTGTGTGCATTGGAACACAGTTTAGAAAGCTACCAGGGAATAAGATGGCTCAAGCAATTGGCTAGTCGCTCCTCTTCCTAGATCATAGTGAGTTAGGAAAGGAACGGGACGGTGAAACAGACAAAGGCCGGAGCCCACTTCACCAGTCACATGTGGGAGCAGTGGACAGAGGCCTGAGATGGATAAGCAAGGTCTGGGAGGAACTGGCTGGAACTAGATCAAACCAAGAAGAGGTTTGATTTGATGAGAAATAAACCTCTAATTTCATTAAAATCTCATTTACGTAATACAAATCACAGTCATCAGCGCCAGGACAGTTTACAATCATCAGGACAACCCCTAGAAGAGACCTAATAAAGAGAAGCATCCCTCTTCTAGGAATTTCCCCAGAAAAATCTTAATTCTTCTGCCCCCTACTTTACTTCCCTTCAGACTTCTAATAAAAGAGTTAACAAACCCCGGAGGAGAAGGGATACTCTGCCTGTGGACTAGTCAGCTCCAGCCTGCTGTATAATCTATACCTTCTACTTAATAAATTAGCCTCAGGCTTTGGTATCTATCCTAGTGTAGCCAGAACACTCCCTTGCAACAGAGGCCCAAAGGCTTCCCACTTACCCCTGCAACAACAGGATCCCCAGAGACCCTGCTTCTCTGTTGGTGGGCTCCTTAATCCCTCCCCCCCCTCTCCCCGCAACTCTTTTCTGCTCTGCACACTACTGCTTCCTCATAGCTGAATGTATTTGCAGACCATCATGGATGGAGTCTTCAGCCCCAACTTGCCAAGGAGCAGCCGTGCCTGTTCCTATATCTGTTTATACTAGGAGTACTTTCATTATAATTACATGATTTAATTAATTCATAGGTAAACTCAAAGCGTGTGAATAGAAGAAATGTTTCTACAAAACTAATTTGAATGCTTTGAAAAAACTCAAAGTTGAATCTCACAAACACAAAACACTATTAGATTAGGTGTGATAAAGATAACTGTAAAAGACTAGGGGGAGATATCCAAAAAATCTAGAAGTATTATGCACTCAGCTTATTTGAAAATTGTCTATAAGTTATCGATTCACTTGAAAGAAACCAAAACTGAAAATGGTAGATGATTCACCACGGGTGTAATTTATTTCAGAAAAACAATACAGAACTTCAATCAGCATTCCACGATTCCAAGCAAAAGTCTTAGCCTTACATGAAGAGATAGCAGGTAAATTTACATTTATATATATTTAAATGGATTCATGTGTTTACACTTAAATGTATCTGTACAAAGAATACTTTTCAGGTAGTGCCATTTTTTCATTCTTTTCCCCAGTAACTACCAAACATCAGTGCTGTCAGATCAGGGAGGAGGGCTTCTGCTGCAATTTTTTTCCTTCGTGGCCCTGCCTGCTCAGTGGCTTGCTTAGCACTGAGTACATAACAGGCACCAATGAACCCTTGTTCCTTGACAGCTTCAAAGGAGATAAATAGGTCAAGCAGTGATAACTTAATCCCTGCCCCAAATTATCTTCCTGGCCCAATACTCCTCATGCATTGAGTCAGCTCTAAGTAGTGAACTCAACCCAGTTTCAAAAAATAGTGATCTCTTACTTTGAATTTATTGTTGAAGAATTTGGCATGCTTTTAAATATCCCCCTAAACAGCAAGGAACCTGCTCAAAACACTGCCCTATCCTTGGAGGTGGGATAAGGAAGACAATGGGGGCAATGAAATAGAAATCATGCAATTTTTACCCTGCCACCTAGTGTAATGCATAAGAGCACAGCTCTAGTTTGAGGCTCCTTGGCCCTAAATTGCCATGAGACCTTGGCAACTACTTACCCTAAGTCCCAGTTTCCTCTTCTTAAAATGGGTTAAGAACTAAATGAAGTAATGGATGCATGGCAAGATAAGATTTCCTTTTCTCCTCATCCCCCCTTTTTTTCCTCTACCCACCCATCCATTATGGAGTGGGATTAAGGTGGTAATCACAGCAAAGAGAAGAAACATCACTCTAATAAGGCCTGGGATCATACTCAAAGTGGTTAGCAATAAGAAGCGTATATTACTATGTTTGCCACTCTGAAGAATTTGAAGGGCCCAATGCAGAAGCAGCCTGATTATCTTCTTCAGGATGCAATTTATTCATTCATTCACTGAGTACTATTTATGAGCCAGGCACTGTTTCAGGCACAGCAGTGAACAGAACAAGTTCTCCCTCTCATGGAGCTTACATGACTGTCTAGTTGAAGAAAAGCCAGAGACTAAGCGGTTACCTGTGAAATCTGTGCACAATGCCTGTCACCTTCTAACAGGGAATTCATATTAAGCATTCAATAAACACCAGCTATTTCCATTATTGTAATTATCAACCCAATCGAAAAATCTAATTTAGGATTATTAAAGTATGTCCCCTAACATCATGCCCCATAGAGCTGTTTCCTTCATTAAGCTGGACCTACTTCATGCTAACTTTCTCTGAAGCAGCCTCAGAACCCCTGTGTCCATCTGATTTTCCCCTCCTCCACCTTTCTACCTGTTTTCTAAAAATCACAATCATTTCCCCAGCTGTCTGGAGGTTAGGAATGGAAGCTGGGGAAGTCAGGGCTATAATGCTCTATCAAAATATGAATAATTGATGTTCCATCTCCTATGCGATTCTGAAAGATGTCCACCCTCTTCAAGGGTCTCCGGCTCTATGCAAATCTGTGAACACAAAGAAGTGCTGCCAAAGGGCTGCTGTGGGGCAGAGGCAGCTAATCTGCAGATGGGCAGCCCAATTCCTGCCAGGCAGATTTCCATTGTGGGGTCCTCCCACCTACCAAAGCCACTTATTTTAAATTGCAAATTACCATACTTTAATTCCCCCCTACCTTGATCTGTGTTTTAAAATCACCCTCTAACAGGTAATTCACTTATTTATTAGGTTTTCCTAATGAGAATGTAAATTCTTTAGGGCAAAAATGTTAGGTTTGTTCATTAGGTCACTGCCGGGCACACACGAAGCACGCAGTAAATATTTGCGGCAGGAAGGAATGAAAACTTCACAGGAAAAAGCGATCAGGCCTGGAAGGCTCTGATAACCCCTCTACTTGCCCTGACAGCGAGGGCTGCAATAGCAAGACCAGGCAAAACTTGAACCACTGACGGAGGGTCTATTTTTCATGCGACTGGAAAAAGCAGGGTTGGGGGGAGCTCCCGCCCTTCTCTCCGCCCCTGCAGAGGAGGCCCGAGCGCTACCAGGAGGGCAGTGGCGCTCCTCAGCTTTCTGGAATATCGGCCCTGTGTTTCCTGCTTGTCTTGTTGACAGCCCTATTCCTGGGTTTATAACATTGTGTGTGCCTGTTCTTTCAACATCGCGGCTATTATGAACAAATAAATTGAAGAAGATGAATGCATCTTTTTCTTTCTTGCAGCAAGAAAGCAGTTAGTGGGATCCGGTAAATAGGAAGCACGCATGCATAATAAAATGCGCTTTGAAAGCGCCACCTTCAGTTGCAAGCTCTCGTTCTTAGAGGACCGACGCAGAGCGCAGGGGGCGGGGCGCGAGCAGGTCTGCGGGCCTGGACCTGGGCGCCGGGCCGCGGCTGGCAGGGGTGAGCGGAGAGCAGGCGGCGCAGGAGGAAAGCACCGGCCCTCTAGGTGTCCCCCACCCCCGGTCAACTGGAGAAGGCTGAGTGTTCAGGGTCTGAGGCAACAGCAGGCGGCGAAGGAAGTGGCTGGAGAGGACCCGGGGAGCCGACCACACGGAGGCCGGACGAGGGGGCCGCGAAGCCGCTGGGCGGGGTTGGCAGCCGAGCTCTGGGCCCTACGCCACTCCGCAGCCCATAAAGCGCGCAGGGTCACTCTGCAGCGCCGGCTTGGCGGCTTTAACCATTTTTGCTCCAGGACCAGGGTTTTTGAGCAGCGTAGGGGAAAGGGGGAGGGGGACGGGACTCCCCCCTTTTTCAGGCCGCTGCCTCTCCTCGCCCCAGCCCCTGCGCTGCCCATGAAGCCTGTTCTGACCAGCCAGCCGCTTGGTTAGCCCCCAGCCCGGAATTCTCGTCGTTTGTGTCCAGCCTACACCATCTTTCATCTCTTGGTATGCTGTCTCCCCAAATTGCAAAATCGTTAAGTTCCAATGCTCTTTTCTCTTAAGCTTCTTTTTTCTAATTACAGATTGCTTCTGTAGCTTCTATTGTGCTCTACCGAAAGCATTGACCCTCCCTAGCCACTAATTGTGTGACTTCACAAAAATCTGCCTAGACTTGTTTTCAGTCATGTGCAAAATAAGATTTCTAAGGGCCCTTCCAGCTTTTAAATGCAGGGACTTTCTCAGGAGAACTAAAGCTGGTTTACTGGGTAGAGCTGCTCTGGCTACAGGGGCTTGGAGTCTGAATGCATTGTTTCTGGAGGTCATGAGTGCGTGGCATCTGTGAGCAGTCATCAGGAAGGAGCCAAGAGTGACCCCTGCTTCCTGCCCTCCGGGACCCTCACTATCTGCCCCAGCTCTTCTAAAACCGGGTACTCAGGCCATACATATGACCACTCTGGCTGAAGTGTTGGGAAAATTTCTCCTCTTACAAGTCCAATGCTGAAAAGGAAGAAACTTTTCAGCTAGACTTTTTGCTAGGAAATCATAAACTCGGAAACACAAAACCATAGAAGCATCCAGTCAGAGCCCATGTTCTTTGGATAACTTTAATAAAAGCAGAACTTGGTTTGAAAATTTTAGGCAACCTTGAGCCCCAGGTCATATGCCTCAGGTGAACTGTAAGAAGAAAGATGACAGGCCCAAGATACTCAAAATTTGCTGCACAGCATATGCAGCCCCTTTCCAGAGTCTGTACTGAGGAAAAGACATGGGCTCTGAGATGATTCCCATGGGGATTTGACTTGAGTCCTGCCCTTTTTGGCTGTCTGGCCTCATATTAGCTTCTTAACTTCTGATTCTCACTTTCTTTTCTATTAAGCAAGAACAATACCTTCTTTCCCAATACTTGAATGAATATTAAATAAGGACAAATGGGTAGCATTCAGAGTGCTTCAGTGAAAACAGAGACTTACCCTGTTGACTTACACAACAGCAACTTCCTAAGAGATGCTGAGGGCCCACAATCCCTAGGAGAGCTGGAGAACTGGGCTTGGAGGTAAGGAAGCCAGGAAGACTTCCTAAATGACACCACTAGGTGCTTCCAGGAGGTCCTCCCGCTGCAGCAACTGGCACAGGCCAACACTTACACCACCAGCCTAGGCCTGCGGTGCCTCAGGGCTTCTGCCCCTTCTGCTTCTGAGAGAGCAAGACTCCTCAGGACACCACCTCCGCTGCTGCATTGCCTTCCAAACCAGTCTCCTCTGTTATCATCCCTGAAGGTCTTCTTCTGGCCCTGGCAAGGCCCACCCACTTCAACCCATTTTCCTTCCTCTTGTGTAATTTATTTGAAGCACTCATCTGCCTGTTTTTAAGGCTGATTCTACCCTTGGGTAAAATTCAGCTTTTTAACTCTAAATAGGAAATAGGACAGTGTGACCTTGAAGGTAGTACCAGCTTTCCCAGCAGCTTCAACCACTTCACCTCCTCATAGCCCCAAGTTAGTGCCTTCTCCCTACTTATGCTAACTTTAGACCACCGGATACACTCCCATGTCTAGTCTGAGTCAAGCTCAGTTACCAGCTGAACCTGGATGTTCTTTCATTCAATATCCAAAAGCTTCCCAGGTTTCCACCAATGGTTCTCAGCTCATAGCTGCACCTTAGAATGAAGTGGGTGGGAGTCTGGCCCTTGGAGAGTCTGATCTAATTGGCCTTAAGCGAGTCCAGGTATAGGCATTTTTAACAGCTCCCCAGTTTATTTTTTCAGGGAACTCTCTTCTAAAATTCCATCATGGTTTTACTTACAAGACCAGAAGGTTTAGGCAAGGAGCAAAATTGAGAGCATAATGTCAAACGAGTGGAAGATGGTAATATACTTCCAATTTTCAATAACTATCTGTACATATTAACTTTTGAGTCAACAATTTTTTGCAAGTAGGGGCAATGAATTAGCCTTTTGGGTTTCAAATCTGGGTTTCAGAAATTTTGGCTTCTGGGTTTGAAAATCATGTGAACTCCTCCTAGGTCATTGTGTACCTATTCATATTGAATTTAAATAGAAAATAGACTGGGGACAGGATCTTTAAGGGAGGTGACTGCAGTGCCTGGTTGTCCTGTCTCTCTAAGATTAAGTGAAGAATGGCAGCTTCTATATTCTGTTTATTTCAAATGTTTGATTCATTCAGTAACATGAGTCATCTGATGACAAAGTGATCGAGGTCAAAATACTGGCAACCATGAGTATACCAAGGTGTTTATTGCTCACCTCAGCCTCCACACATCTCTTTTCAATTTCCCCATCTAGTCACCATTCTGAACTGTTAATTGTAGGGATAAGAAAGGAACAGAGGGAAGGAATCAACATGCCTTCACTGAGGGAATAGGTAAAATGGTATGGAACAATGGAAAAGTATAGAAATAACATGTCAACGTGACTCACAGGGTTCTCTTGAATCACCAGTGTTGCCAGGGCGTGGTGTGGATAACTACGAGAATGATGATAATTTAATGCCGCTGCCATTGTGGAAAACCATGAGGAGGCTTACCCCAAACTGCCACTCGATGCATAACCAGGCAGAAGTGCAAGGGCTGAGCAGCCCAGAACCCAGCCTGCCAGCAGTGGACACTTGTCATTCCTTTTTGGCCAATTTTGGTGCAAAGAAGGCACTCAAGAAATGGCATTATTATTATTACCACTACTACTGTTACTGTTATTATTGAAGGAATTCAGAGTCTGGCCGCTTAGCCGGACATTGGACATTGTGAATGCCCATGTGTGTGCTTTTCAAACCTTAGCAGAGAGCATTTAGAATCAACTAGACAGCAATCCAAAACTGCAAATTCCTGAGTTCCACCCCTTGGAATTCTAAATCAGTGTATGTAATGAGGCGAAGAAATCTCATTCTTGGATGGAAAGTTGGCATTTTCTTAAAGAACTCCAGAAAGAGAGAGAACTTCCACCCTTCCTTCCTAATGTACAAGCTGAAGTCCTCATGTGAAACTCCAGTAGTGTGGTTAAGGGAATGGTCTGGACCCCACAGCTGTGGGACCTTGGCTAGGTATATGGACCTTCTGTTCCTGTCTTTATGTGTAAAATTGGCATCACAATAGTTCTTCCCTCAGAGAGATGAAGCAAAGCTTAAAATAAACCTGTAGAACAATGTTTATTAGGCTTATATTAGGCCAACAAAGGTTAACTACTATCATATGAATCTACTTCCCACTCTTTGGCTCCTACTGATGGAATGATTTTTGAAAAATGGAGATTCTTCTAGTCCCAAACTTCACAAACAAGTACCCCTGGTTGGTATGTACCCTGAAAGAGGTAATACACTGAACCCACTTATGCCAGGTAATGTGCTGCAGGTCAGGACTGCTGAGGGTTGCAGACTCGCCTTACAGAGCCTTTGCCAGTGTTTCATACATGTGAACTCAGGAAGTTTCTCTTGAGAGCTGAGCTAACTCTTACATCCATGTATACGAGTGTGCAGAGAACAGCATGTGCACCCATCTCCCCCGCAGCTCTGAGCATCCACCTGTTCCTTCCACCAGCCCTCTCACCTGCCAGAGGCCACAGCACTTTCCTTGTCTGGCATCTGGTCTGCCCTCTTGCCATAGCTGCTCCCTTTACCACCTTTCAGGTGGCAGGTTACCTCTGCAAAGGGCTCTTCTCTGACTACATGCTCAAAAGAGGAGCCCCTCAGGCCCCCAGCAGGTAGGTGGGCACACCATCACCCTGTCATTTTCCTCTGTCAGCCTTCATCTACTTCACAGCTCTTTCACAGACATTATTTTACATAAAACTCAGTTTCTGCTTTCCTGTTTCCAGGCTGTGCCCTCCACATGCACATGTGTTTATAGGTACCAGGAAAACAGGGATCACGTCTTGTTCCCTCCTTTGTCACCAGCATCTATCTCAGTGCTAGTTCTTAACACACAACAGCTTTCATTAAATATTGAACAAACAGCAAATGCATTTAACATCCTGAATCTAAAAGGCATTTCCTCTAAACTCTTCTATCTGAAAGGAAAGGCAAGGGAAAGGATCTGAATGAACAGTAAAGGCACAAAAACATTAGACACGTCCTCTGTAATTTCCCAGAATGTGGCCATTAGCGAGCTTCACACCAAGGCAGTAAAGGTCATAAATAAAGATTTCCCACCTTGAATGTGAAAGCCATCAGCTACACACAGCCTGGTAAAGTATTGAAGTCATTGGAAGGGATTATGAGTAAAATAAAGTACAGTACAATTTATTTTTTCAGAGAAAAAAGAAAACCTTTGATGAGATCAGATCAAAATCTCCTGATCTTTCTGAGAGGATAGAAATTGGGTCCTTTCTTCTTTTTACCATTTGTGCCATTTTGAATTTTAAACTGAAGTTGTTCCATAGCTTCTGATTGAACCACTATCTATTCCTTGTGTGCCCCCATCCCCACACCTCACCTATCAGAGCTGGAGGGGCTCTGAAAATAATCTTGTCCGATCCTTTTGTTGAAAATGAAAAGAAGACTAGGTCACACCATGAGAGGGTCTCAGGGCCCAGAAGGGGTCCCAGATCTCCTGATGCCCAGACTAGCCCTCCAGTCCTCCATGGCAAACTCAGCTCCCTCTGACTCACCAGGGCCCCATCCACTTCTCAGCCCCAGTACATTAGTTCAGGAGGTAGCTAGTCCTGTCTGCTCTGAAGACAAGAACCCCACAGATGTCAGCCAAGACCTTACATTGCTGGCAGCATTAAATGAGCTTTCCTTTCTCCAATCAACAAGTCCAGCCAGAATATTTCCAACCAGGGAAGCAGCCCATCCCTGAAGACAGCTCCTTTACTTCTTAATCAGTCCAGGTTTGCTCCATAAGCCTGACTGGAGTGGAAATAGGTATGCGCCTTGGAAGGCCCCCCCAGTGTGCATCCTAGTCCTCAGAAAGGCTTGCTTTACTGTCCCTGCAACTCAAGGCCAGAACATTCTCAGTCCCCTTTTGCCCTATCCCCAACTTCAGAGAGAAAAGAGGGGTTCCCAAATGTTTTGGTGAAGAAAACAACAGCTGAGAGTCCTGACAGGCCATAAGGAGACTGAGGAGAGATGGTGTCTTCATTCACAGCCAGGCTGGGGCACTGCTCTGAGGCTGCAAGATCCTGAAAGGGGTGGGGTGCGGGGGTGGGGGCGGAATAGCTGAGTCTGCGCTGCCTCTCCCTCCCTGCTGTCTACCTCTACGGCAGAGACCAAGGAGTGCCAAGAAATCCTTTGCTATGATCCTTTTCTCCCTGGAAACGCTATTCATTCAGCAGTAAATCCCATGGGCAGTTCATTTTATTTTCACGTGGTCCTGTATATTGCCTATTCCTAGTTTATTCTTGATTTTGTGTTGGCTGGTTTGGGATTTCTGGGAGGCAAGGAGGACTTGATGATTTTAGGACAAAGTGTCTCTTCTCTATTCAGTCTGTAAAATTGTTGTGGTCTGAACTCATTTTCCCTCATCACTCAACTCATCCACTCAGTACCAGGACTGGGTTACTTATTGATTTGGTTGTTACTGTTGTTTATGAGTTTTTCATTTGGTTTTGTGAAAGGGCTACTTTCCTTAAGATAAGGAGCCCACCTTTACCTTGATCTCTACAGCTGTCTATGCCTGAATTATATTTCCTGCAACATTAGTTTTCCAGGTACCTTCAGTGGCATCAACATCTTGATGTTCTCTCAATCTGTAAGCTACATTATCTTCATCTCTTTCCTCTTTTGTCTGCTTGGACACCCATTCTGCCTTAAAGTGGATCTCATAAGAACTTAATTTGGGTAATTTCCAGGTTTGTATTAGTCATAAATTTTAGAAATTATTGGCACAGATTTTAGTCAAGATGGTGTTGAAAGTTCAAAATATGAGGCTTTGTTTTGCTCCAAAGGCATTGCTGTTATAAATAAAATAGAAAAAGAAAGGAAATCAAAAGCATACCTTCAAAACAGGAAAAATATCTCTATGTACTATAATCAGAAGAGAAACAAAATTTGGACCATTAGGGTCTGAACCATAAGTGAGCAGAGGTGGTCAGGAGCTCTAGCTCCTGTGGGGCTATGGGAACCAAACTACCTCTGAGAAGGTGGAGATAGAAGCAAGGCTCCCTGCTAGTTACCCAGCCACAGCACCTGCTGAAGGGGCTGCTAGGAAGCTATGTTTTACACCATATCACCCTGCCCTTCTCCCTCCAAGACTGCTGACTGACTGGACCAGGGCTGGGCACCTTACCAAAGGCATCCAAGCTACAGGGCTCCTTGGCAGGGGCCTGAATGAGAAGTTTTACCAAATGAAAAGTAACTGGCCACATAGGATGCTTGTCCCAGTGCAACCAAATCAGGAAATACATGGTGAAGAAAACAATTTTCAGTGAGAACTAAGCTGAAAGATCCTGGGACAGACAGGCCTTGGAGGGCAAGGCCTCTGATGGGTCACCATCAAGCCAAAGTCATAAGGAAGCAGAATGTCTGCAACCACAAACGTGTAAGCTTTAGCGTGGAGGTGAGATGCCCCTGGATAGCTACAAGAGGAAATCACACCCACAGAGAAATTTGGAGTCATGTTAATGTAGAAGAGAAAAGCAGAATTCCACCAGTGGAGTGCTTTGGATTCTGAAGGCCTCTCTGATTTCAGCTTCCAGGAGCCCCAGCTGCACCATCACTTCTGCCCTGCCCACCTCAGGCTCCTGTTTGGCTCCTCCTCAGTAACTATGAAGTGGGTGCGGGGCTTGGACCTCTACTTCCTTGGTTTCACAGATACCTTTGTGACTGTCTCCCTGGCACCACTCCAATTACTTGATGTTATTTGAGTGACTCTATTTCTTACAATCAAGCCCAATTAAAACATGTATTAAGTCCTTTAATCCTCCTGACAATCCTAAAATGAAGAAATAATATTCTCTTTTGTAAAACTGAGGTTACAAGACATGAAGCAGCGGGATCCCTCAGCTCCTGGGCTGGCCATTTGCCTGTTTGCTCTCACATTTATTTCCCAGCTTCCTCTGCTTAGCTCTCCACACAAACTACATTTCCCAGGCTCCCTTGCCAACTGGCTTCTGGCTCACAAAGAGGATCACTGGCAGGAACTTGAAGAGCAGGGGAAAGGGAGAAGCCAGAATATTTTCCCTCTGTGCTTTAAGCAGCTTCTCTGGCAACAAATGCATCTTCATGTCCCAGATCTGATGAGCATGCCTTGCTTCTGCATTCCCAGCTCCCACCAGGCAGCCCCATCCTCACTGTGCTCCTTCAGGCCTAGGGGTGAAAGCAGCTTCCTACTTGCTAAGCTTCGGGGGTCTCACAGTCTTGTGTTTAGCTATTCATTTATTTCTTTCCATTTGTAATTCTCCATGTTCAATTTCTTTTATTAACTGGCATGGCCCTGTGTTCTCACATGGACCCTGACTCATACAGCAGTTACTGAGTGAGGGTTCCAAGTTCAATCTGTTTGATTCCAGAACTTACACTCTAAAAACCACATTATATTGACAGTTAAATCACGGAGATTTCTCTGAACTTCAACTACAATCTAGTGATGTTTCCCCCAGAACAAATGGATAGAGAGGGCTTTGTCTTCACTGTTCACAGTCATGAGTTAACATTACAAGGTCACCAACCCAAAGATCAAAATGGGGCCAAAAGAGTTCATTTCTAACGGCTGCCTCCGGCACCACAACCCTTTACCCTGTTCTGAGTCTACTCCCTGAGCCCTCAGGGCCAAAATAGTAGTAGTGGATTTGCTATGAGGTAAGGAATCCTCATGGCACTGAGAACATACCATTATGCAGGTTGAAATCCCATCGCTCAACAGGTTTGCCACTGTTTGAGAGCAATACTGTATCTTCGTAGTGTTCTTGGTTTCTTGCCCTTCCCCTGTGCTTCAACCCTTAGAGGTCTACCCTATCCTTTCCTGATGGTCCATCCCACTTGCACTAAAGGCCTAAGTATTTTGTTTGCTTATTCTGTCTCTTTTTCTTTCTGTCTCTTTGTCTCTCTGTCAGATTCCTGGATTTCTGACCATTAGACCTGCCAGGTCAGGAGGAGCCTGCTATGGTAAATCATGTATCAGTGAGTAGTCAGTCCTCTGTTGGGCAATGATTGAGATCCGTGTCACTCCTGACAAGCCACCATCACCTGTTTAATGTTGAGCTAAGGTCTAGCTTACTGTACTGTATTGCATCTGGGGGAGTCCAGAGGAAGGTGAATATTAGATTTCTCAGACCTAGATGCTCTGTTAGAGGGAGCAGAATGTTCAAATCATCATCTCTGAAAATCTAAAAAAAAAGAAGAAATCAAAGAAGCCTCAACGTTATGTTCTTTAAATAACCCAAAATTGCTTCCCTAATTGTGAATGCCTCCTGCACCTGGTCTCAATCCTTTAAATACTAAGTATAGTCCATTCATGGGTGAAGGTGGATAATTTCAGCATTCAATTAACAAGTGTATGATGGGAAATATGCTAAAGTCTTGGGGTTTGTACTACACAATATCCTATAACTACTGACGGGTGACAGTCTAGGTTTTATAGAGCACAATTGAACAATCTGCACAATCATTTGTAAAAATAATCAAGTCTTGTTATAAAAATGGTTGTTATCTTTGGCATCTCCCTTCTCACTCCCTCCAGCTACCACCTCCCACATCCCAGCTGTCTCCTAATTCTGTGACAGTTTTCGTTTCCTCCAAAAGCTCTAGTGGCTTCTCTGTTCTTTCCTTTTTTCTCTCTAAGGAAATCTCAGCATCACCAGAGACTAAAATGGATGTCCATATGTCACAGAGAATGAAATCTCTTCCCAATCCCTGTCTTCTGAGCTGACTTGAAGCCTCACAGCCGTTCTGCTGAGACAGAAGGAGGGACTGCATGACCTGAGGAAGGTTCCTCACCCCACTCACCCCCACCAGCAGGTAGCTGCCACTATTCAGGTCTCAGCAAAAGAGTGACATCCTTGGGAAAATATTCTCCAACACCCTCCACCCCTGGCCTTAATAGTAATTATCTCAGTTTGTAGCTATATCCTTATCTATATCATCTGGATAATGAATGTCTAACTCAAGTGTCTATAAGATCCATGAATATTTATGTCCCAAATTGTATTTCATGAAAGTAGTGGTGGGAGAGGTATGACTGTGGCAAATAAATTTGGAAAATGCTGTAGGACTTCTGGGAGCCTTTAAAAGGCTAATGTGTGTATAATCACCAGCATTTTACAAACCATATTAACTATGGGACCTTTCTTTATAACACTTGTTAACATTTGGAGGAACTAGTATCCTGTGGATTGTAGTTTGAGAAAGTCCAGTATAAAATGAAGTATAATTTCTGCCTTTCATAGCAGAGTGGTGATTGTCACTAGCACACAGATTGTGAATGACCATGGGAGCTGCCATGGAAAACCGTCACAAAACTTCAGAGTGAAATAATCATATAGAAAAAGATAGTTGGGGCAAAGGAGAGTTTGAGGAAAATACCCAAAACAAGGGAGGGGGTGATGAGAAAGAAAGCTGGCTCATATAGGGCTCAGAATGACTGAGTTCCAATTAAAGTAGAATCCACCCCAACTGGCTGAGTCCAGAGAGAACTGGTCAGGTTCTCCTCAGTGCTTGGCGCTGCTCAGTGAGAACAAACATGACACCCACTGCTGGTCCAAACCACAGGGAAGGAGTGGGACCTTGGCTTTTCTTGTGGGCTTTTGCATATAACCCATCGGCTTGGTCATGATAATGTGAAGTTCATAACTGGTGAATTTCAAGTTCCATGGGATTACACTTTTTCAGGAACATGTCAGTATAAAAAAATTATAGTTGATCATTTTAATTAATATAAAATATATTATTTTTTAGCTTTTGATAAAATCATTTAAATAATTTTTAAGTGAAAACACATCAGTACTACTGTGAGCTATTGCTATATGTGTGAGGTGGAGATAGATGTTTGTTAATATTCCAAAGGGCCGCCTCAGATCCCTTATGGAAATAGAGTTTGTTGACTTAGTAAATGAATGCAGAAACAATTATTCCAAGTTTTGTGTCTGGCATACTGTCTACAGATTATCTTTTGGAGTTAGTCCAGTGAGTAGGAATTTTCTTTTTGGGTTTGATTTCACAAGGCATGCAATCACATGTGAACAATGGGAACTCAGAGTGGAAAACCTTGTTTTAAAAATCAACTAACGTTAAGTTCCCCACTTCGGCCAGTCAACTGAGATAACAGTTTTTATGGTAAAGACTTAAAACAACATCAAGCATAATGCCCTTGTTTATGTAGCAAAAAGAAGTTAGTTGTTTGCGGATCTGAAGACTTTCAGACTTTTGCATTATTGCTGAAAGCAAACTCAATTCTGGATGATATGTCAACACAGGTCTATGGGGAAAGGCAAAAAAAGGAGGAGAACTTTGGAAAATGCTACACAGTGGGTTTTTGGCTTTCCTGGAAGTATCTTCTATGTCAACCCTGGAATTTATCTTCAGTTCAAAAGATTACTGTTAAAAGAGGCTTAATTCTAAACAATGGCTTCCTTTTTAAAAGGTTCTTGGCTTTTAACACTTAGATACAAAAGAAGAACTTGCATAGTTTGGACAAAGCGTTGGTCAGAAAAGACTGTTTTAAGCTTCTGTGTTCCTGAGCTCAGGCTATTTCACTAAGCTCTGAATTGAGGAAACTGAATACAGGGTGAGAAGATAGAAGAAGAGTCAGTGTGGAATAGGGTATGGAAGCTTCTGGCAGGGCAGGAGGGCTGACTGGATCTGCTGACTGAAGTAAGTGCACTCTGCTGTCTGCTTCTCCTCCATCTTCCCCATCTCACAGGATCCCCTTAGCAAGCAGTACCTTTTTGGTCCAGCCACTTCTACTTCATTGACTCAGCTCCTACCTGCTGTCTCCTTTAACCCCTTCAGACAGATGACCCAGCTTAAACTTCCCCAAGGGCCTTGAAAACATGAAGGTTCTTTACTTCCATTCCCAGGGGTGTTTGTATGTGTATGTGTGGTGGGGTTGCATTGCTTGGCTGTTGGCACAGGTGGTGGTGGAAGGACTTCTCAGACTTCAGACACAAGCTACTGGCCTTCTTCTCAGGGAAGGGTAAAGAGACACAGAGACTGGCAAAACTGCTGCATAACCCCTCACCCCGCTGCTGAGGAGTAAGAGCCCACGTTTGTTTGTTCCCCCATTTTTAACCAGACTGCCCTGTCCAGGCTCTTAGGAGCCTGCAAAGCTTGCCAGGAGCCCCACCCTGTTCTCCCATGCCTGCCCACCCTCTTGCTCACATTTTTTTGTACCTTCTCAGCTTGCACCCATGAGTGCCTCTGGCTGCTCGCTTTTCTGACTCTTGCCTGAGGATTCCAGCTCTAACACAGTTCCAGAAAGGTTTCTCAAACCCCAGGAACCACAGCTGCCTTGGGACATTCCAGCTCCTTCCAGGAAAACTAGACACCTTGCTAGATATAGTCCCCAGAGGTGTCTTTAGTCTGTGTCTTCTTCAGGGAAAGGACACCTCTCTCTTGCGGGTGGCATATGCATGAAATTTGATTTTAAGCCTTATTACCAGTTTCAGAGCATCCTGATAACTTACTATAGTCACCAAACCACTGCCTCCTAACCCACTGCTGGCTGCTTTGTAGTAAATCAAGCTTCTTTCTTCCTCCTCTGAAGCTCAGCCTGGTTATTCACCCCAAAAGGGGAAGCCGGGGTTGGGGTCATAGTGCCTGAACCCAGGCTGGAGTTCTCCCTCCCACTTTCTGTCTTTCTCACCCAAACCAGGAAACTACCACCAATTGTGGCAAAAATTGCTTCAGTGGTTTCCCATAAAAACGACCCTTTCCTAGTTGTCTTAAGCCTTTAGGTGTGGCCAGACCTGGTTCCTTCTGTTCTTTATAGGCCCTGAGCAGAGGCAGCTTTGCTCTCACCATTTAAAGAAGCCACAAAGGCAATGTGTCACCAGGGAGAGCTTTGTCCTCCTGCTGTCACCGGAGGCCACACTGTGCACAAAAGGAAGAGGCCCAGTGAGTTAAGGATAGGAATGAGTCCTCCACAGTGGGTTCCTGGAGGTTATCTTGCTCTTCCACTTAACGGTAATCCTCAAACTATCTTAATAAATTTCCCAACATTTCAATTCATTTCATTTATCTTCTTAAGATAAGATGGAAAAAAGTTTTAAAATTACCACATGGCCCTTTGCATCAACTAGATAAATGGTGAGGTCCGTGAGAGGTTAATACCTTATAGCATAATCTTCCTCTGGAATCCCACCTGGACAACTGTGATGTGTTTAATACCAACAGGATGACTAGAGGTCTCCTGGAAGGAGTTCTCAACTAATTTCAGAATAGAGATGAAAGCCTGTGAATGATGCAAAGGCTTCTTTCTAATTAAATGATTCACTCAATGAATTTTGTTCAAATTTAGTTTCCCCATTTAGAACAAGTGCTATTCAACACCCCAAGGAGATGGCAATGTGGGTGATGAATGAGCCTTTGGTGGTCATCTGCTCACAGATGGTGTGACAGCCATCTACAGGATTATTAGAAGAGGACTTGAATCCTGTTCTGATCATGTTTTGGTCTCTGCTCCAGCCATTCTACAAAACCTTTATAGAGAATGAGCTCTGGACCACATCAGAGTGGTAGGAGGCTCTTGCTGCTTCCACTGTGGTCCAGGCAGCCCAAGCCCTCTCCCAGGATATTGAAACTGCCTTTTCAATGGACTCCTTCCTTCTGCCCTCACTTCCCACGGTCTATTTTCCACACAGCAGGCAGAGTGATCCTGTTAAAATATGAATCAGCTCACCGAATTCCTCTGCTCAAAAATCTCCACTAATTCCCCATCTTAACCAAAATAAAAGCCAAAGCCTCCATGGCCTGCAGGCCCTTTCTACATGCTCCCTGCCACACAGGGTTCTGAGCTCACACTCGCTCTCCTAGCCCCCTGCTCCCCTGGCTTGTTTCCTTACTTCCTACAGTCTTTTTTTAGAGTCAGCTTAGTGGGCCCTTCCCTGACTAGCTGTTTTAGAATCACACCCATCCAATTTTCTCTATTCTTCTTCCCTGATGTATTTTCTCTGAAACACTTGTAACTATGTGACATTATACTTTGCACATTCATCTTATCTTATATTCCCACACCCCCAGACATACTAGAACATAAGCTCTAGAAAGACAACCAGTTTTGTTAGTTTTCTCCACTGCTTTATCTGCAGGGCCTAGTTGAGTGCCTGCCACATATTAGGCACTCATTTAACGCTTGTTGTATGACTGATGACTTGGGCATGAGTCAGCTACTTGGAGGCCATGTGCAAGATGGGTAAGCAGAGGAGAAGAGAATACACCTGCAGGTGGTAGGGAGGAAGCAGAGCCAAGAGAGACCACAAAATCCTGGGAAGACAGAAAGAGGAACCTTGATCCTCAACTTTGCAGCTCCCAATTCTGAACCCCAGAAGGCCTCTGACACGTAATTTGTTTCCTGTGTGTGTATTGTCTATGTATGTCCCTAACATTACCCACTTCATCTTTACAACAACATTCTTTAACTTGAACCAACTTGAAAGAGAGACTAGAAGGTGACAGTATTAGGAAAGGAACAGGCAAGTCAGATCCCCAAGGGCCTTACAGGTCATTGTAAATACTTCGGCTTTTACTCCATTTGAAATGGGAGGCCATTGGAGCATTTTTTTTATCAGAGGAATAGCGTGCTGATGTTCATTTAAAGGAGCTGCCTCTGACTACTGAATGGAGATAACTGTTACAGAGAGGTGGGTTAGTGCTCTCCAGAGAAACAGAACCTATAGGAAATAGGTTTATTGTAAAGAATTATCTCACACTATCACTGAGGCCAGCAATTCAAAATCCATATTGTAAGATGGCACCATCTCACACCCTTAGGACAGCTAATAACAAAAAGCCCAGAAAATAACAAGTGTTGGCAAAGTTTGAAACCCTTGTGCACTATTGATGGGGGTGTGAAATGGTCCAGCTACTGCAAAAACCGCATGGTGCTTCCTCAAACAATTAAAAATAGAATTACTGTGTAGGATCCAACAATTCCACTTCTGGGTATATACACAAAAGAATTGAAAGCAGAGTCTCAAAGAGATATTTGTACATCAGTTCTCAGAATAGTACTATTCAAAGTAGCTAAAACATGGAAGCAACCCAAGTGTCCATCAACAGGGGAATAGATAAGCAAAATGTGGTACATACATACCATGGGATATTACCCTTTAAAAGGAAAGAAATTCTAACATATGCTACAACGTGGATGAGCCTTGATATTATGCTAAGAGAAATAGCCAGAAACTAAAGAACAAACACTGTATGAGTCCATGTACAAGAGGTACTTAAAGTAGTCAGTCACAGAGATAGGAAGTGTAATGGTGGGGCTGGGGTCGGGGAGAGGGAAATGGGAAGTTATTGTTTAATAGGTACAGAGTGTCCATTTTACAAGATGGAAAGAGTTATGGAGATATTATGGTGATGACAGCTGCACATTATGAATGTATATAATGCCACTGAATGTACACTTAAAAATGACTAAGATAGTAAATTTTATATGTACTTTACTACAATTGAAAAAAAATTTTGAGGAAAAAAAAAGAGGTAATATCACTGTCTTGAGTCTAAAGCTGGGAATTCAGGCAGAATTTACATGTTGATGTTAAGAGCCAAAATTCCTTCTTGTTCAGGAAGTCTCAATCTTTGCTCTTAAGACCTTTGACTGTTTGGATAAGGCCCACCCACATTATGGAGGGTGGTCTGCTTTACTCAAAATTTACTAATTTAAATGCTAATCACATCTTAAAAGATACCTTCATGGCAATATCTAGACTAGTATTTGATCAAACAACTGGGCACCATAGCCTAGCCAAGTTGACACATCTTCCATCACAGGAGACTAGGGTAGAATCAGGGAGACTAGTAAGGGGACAATTAGGATAATCCAGATGGGCAATGGTGGTAGTTTGGACCAGAGTGATAAGCAGTGGAGGTGATGAGAGGTAAATTTTGGATGTACTTTGAAGGTTGAGCAGACAGAACTTGCTCATAAGTTGGGCATGAAGTGTGAGAGAAAATGAAGAGTCCAGGATGCATCCAAAGCTCTTGGCCTGAGCAACCAGAAGAACAGTGTTTCCAGCAACTAAAATAAGGAAGACTGCAGGGGAAACAGTTTGCAGGGAGAAGGAGTTAAAATCAGGAGTTCTTTTTCGAACCTTTTACGCTGAGATGCTCAACAAGTAAAGACACTGAGTACGCAGTTACATATATGTGTCTGGAACAGAGGAAAGGCCTAAATGGGAAAAAAAAGGTAGGAGTTTCAGCATATAGATGCAGTGTTAAAGCCAGGAGACCAGTGACTGACTGTTTTGGTGGAGTGATGGGGTCAACAGCTTGATTGGAGGGGCTTCAAGAGAGAATGAGAAGATGAGATGAGGAAGAGTCTGCAAACAATTCTGTCTTAAGAGTTTTTCTACAAAAAGAAGAACAATAGGGTAGTGGGATCCATGGGGTTTTTCTCTTAACTAAGATATATAAAGGCATATTTACATACTGGTAGAAG